TGGATGGATGGATGATGGATGGATGGATGGATGATGGATTGATGGGTGGTTGATGGATGGTTGGATGGATGGATAGATAACTAGTTGGGCACATCAGAATCAATTAAAGAGCTTAGATAGTACACACACACACACACACACACACAGGGGCCCAAGCCCTGCTCCAAAAATAAAAATAAAAGCCAACATTTAATGAGTACTTACTGTATACCAGGCCCCATGTGCAGCCTATGAGGTAGGGCATTTCACTGAACCTCACGGCCACCCTCTGAGCTAGTAACTAATACTAATCTTTTTTTTTTAAAGATTTTATTTATTTATTTGAGAGAGAGAGAGAGCACGAGCAGGGGCCGGGGTTGGAGAGCGGCAGAGAGAGAGGGAGAAACAGACTCCCCACTGAGCAGGGGGTCCCTGGACCCCGAGATCATGACCTGAGCTGAAGGCAGACGCTTACCTGACTGAGCCACCCAGGTGCCCACTAATCTTTTTTTTTTTTTTTTTTAGAGGACAAACCTGAGGCTCAGAGAGCTAGTCACTGACCCCAGGTCACACAGCTCCAGGAGGTGGAGGAGCCAAGATTCAAGTCAAGATCTGTTTGATTCCAGAACCAAGCTTGGCCTTACTGGGCGGGCGGGGATGCCGGGGAGTCTGGGGTCCTCAGGGCTCCACAGGTGATTCTGATATGCAGCCAGGTGGCGAACCCTTGAGCAGGGCAGTGAGCTCTGGGAAGAGTGCTGGCTCTGGGGCCGGCTGACTCCTGCACCGTCCTGCAGCCTGCCTCCTCTTCTCTGACACGGAGTGGGGTTTCAGGAGGCCGGAAGGAGCGGAGCAGCGTGCCCGCTGGATGGTAAGCACAGGGGACGCACCCTGCAGGTCCTGTTGGTGCAGCAACAGCCGCATTTTTAGTCCCTGGGCTGGGGGCCAGTCGCCCCCCTGCTCCTTCTCCCGGCTCCCTGGTACACATTCCCAGCTTCCCGGTGGGGAGCTTGAGACACGTGGCAGAAGACCCCACGGGGGCACTCAGGAGGCTTCAGCACGTGGGTGCAGAGCAGGGATGCTGTCGAGACTCCTGCCCAGAAACACATCCCGCACCGATCCTCCCACACGCAGGTGTGCGACCCAGCCGGCCACTACCGTGTGTGCAGGTCTGACGGCAAAAGCCAGGAAACCGGCCTGACAGTGGTCGCAGCTGATGTGTGTGTGCAGGGCAGGCTTTCTCCACTCAGGTGGCCGTGTAGAAAGTTAGCAGCGTCCCTGGTATCAGTAGCATTCCCTCCATCCCGGTTGTGACAACCAGGAATGTCTTCAGACATGGCCAATGTCTCCTGGCAGAGAACCCGTGGTCTAGAGTTTGCTCCATGCAGCGCACAGGTGCGCACACTCTGCAGAAGGCACCTCCTCCTCGAGCCCCTTACGCCTGGAGACGGATGCTTTTCGTCCTTCTACTGTACAGAGGCAGAGACGGCCAGGTTAGTGGTTTGCCCAAGGTCACGGAGCTGACACTTCAGCAATGCTGTGATTTGAACCTGTGTTAAGTCCCAGGTCCCTCTTTTTCAAGTCGATTTTTGTGGGTCCCTTGGACTTCTCCCCATTCACAACCATGTTGTCCGTGACTAGATGTAATCTCATTTCTGCTTTTCCCATGTGGCTACCTTGGCGCGTTCCAGAACAGACTTGCAGGGCATGAATTATAGCCCAAGCAGATTCTGTAATCTGCACAGGATTCTTTCTTTCCGGAAGTTAGATTTGCTCAATTATCGACAATTTGGAAAATACAGAATAAAAAGAAAAAATAAAATTTCGTATTGGACTTCCCACAAAAGGCTCACTTTCTAGCAGCCTTGTCCTCTGAGAAGCTCTCTCTGCTTTGAAATTTTATCATCCAGTTGCAATCACACTATATAATACAAATTCCCCAAACTACAAAACCAGGTTTTTTTTTCATGTTATTACAAAATCCTCTTGGACACTACTTGTAATTGTCGCCCGTTGTGGCCGAGACCCCAGTTTCTCCTCCATTCTCTGACCTCTCCCTCTTCTTTCATAATAGAAATCTCAAGTTTTAGCTGGGCATGTGGCCACCCAGAAAAAAACTACATTTCCCAGATGTGTCCATGTGACTAAGTTCTGGCCAATGATACATAAGTAACTTCCAAGTAGTGTCCTCAGAGAGAGGGCGCCTGCTCTTCTTCGTATCCTCCTTGCTGGCTGGAATGCAGGCGTGATGGCCAGAATCAGAGTGGCAATTTTGGGCCATGGTGGAGCAATAAGAGAAAAGGTACCTGAGTCCTGGATGAATTTATAAAAACACCCTACCAGCCCTGGATAGCCACCTCCACACTTCTTTTCGATAAGAGAGAAACAAACTTCTGTTTCATTTATGCCCCTGGCATTTGGGGTTTTTAGCCACTCAAAGATGAACCTAATCCTGAGTATTGCACTAACATTGTGCTGGAGGAATTGTCTCTAACATTCTTTTAGGAATTACCACCTAAGTAGCTCAACTGTTCCCTGGCGATTGGGCAATTAGGTAGTTTCGGACTCCCCGCTACTCTAAAATAATTCTGTGGTGAACATCTCTGTGCATTTTCACTATTTGTGGTTATTTCCTCAGTACACAATTCCAGAATAGGGACTTGGTTGGGGGGGTCAAAGAACATGAACCTTCTTAATGCCTGTTAATAACCATCCGCCCAAGTGGGCCACAGAGTCAGGATGGGAGGCTACATCGCCAGGAGAGAGGCTCGGGTTTCATGGAATAGCTGCCCCAGGGAAGCTGCTTTGTCGCTGAGGACCCCTCCCCCTGCATCTGCTAGAGCTGGTGCCTTCTCCTCCGCACCCCCTCCTGTCCTTCTCTTCTAATCACATGTCTCTGGGAGGCATGTCTCCCTGATGAAGCCCAGACCCCATGCCCGCACCAAGCTGCAAGGGAGGCTGGGAAAGTGAGTTTTTGGCATCTTCCTCCGGGAGAATGGCCACTGGGGAAGGAGTTTCCTTGAAGCGGATATACAAGGTGTGGGGCAGCCAGAAAGTAGGGCGAAGCTTAGCTCCCTAAGCAAAGACCTACTGGGCTGGGGAGGAATGCAGAAAGGCTTCCTGCCTCACTTTTTAATTCGTCCTCCACTTATCCTGAAGACCAGCAGGCAGAAGTAAAGAGGACAAGGATGTCATTCCCACTGGTGTCACCCTGGCAGTTTACCCAGCTCTGCAAGGGCTGCCTTAGAGCTGGGGACCCACACCTGGCAGAGCACGAGCCCTGTTCTCACCCCGTCGCCTGCAACCAGCAAGTCAACCTGGGTGTCATTATGTGATGTAGGTGTGTCTCCCAGACCGCATCCTTCAAGAGGAGGACCTGTCCTCCTTACCCACTCTAGTACTCCCAGCACCCAGATGGGCCGTGGCGCATGCTAGGTGCTCAATGCATAAATCTTGAATGAATGAATGAATGAATGAATGAGTGAATGATGGCCATCCGTTCTTAGTCCTGGAAGGAAGCTTGGAATACTGAAATGAACATTTATCGATGCAGCCAATATTTCCTGAGTATTGACCATGCTCCTGGCCCTGTTTTAGGTACTGGGGATACTGTAGGAAAGAAGACAAAGTAACTTCCTGCCCTCACGGTGGGGGAGATGAACAGTAAATGAGAAAACCCCAAAATATTGATATAGCATAATAAATATGATATAACATGATACCAGGTCCTGGCATATGTTTTATGAAGAAGTGCAAACCTGGGTAAGTGACTGAGAGATGCTAATTTAGAAAAAAATGGTTGCAGAATTGCTCTCTGAGATGGTGACATTTGATGAGAGACCTGAAGTAGGCTAGCTGAGTAAATATCCGTGGGAAGCACGGGGAACAGGCAGTGCAAAGGCCCTGAGGTAGGACCGAGCTTGGTGTATGTTATTTGCAACAAGGCAGCCAGGGAGGCAAGGGTTACACTGGGTTTCCCAACTTCAGCAAATCCACAGAACCCTTAACTGTCGGAAACAGTGGGGTGGGGGTGGGATGAGTTCTTTACTCTTAAGCTTCTCTGGAAAAACATGATGTCAGGGACAGACAGTAAATCTTGACTTGTCCCAGAAAACAATGGGCCTACAAAAACCAGTAAAGTGTCAGGCTGAAAGTAAACGCCAAAGGGCTGGGGCACGGGTAGATCATATGGAATCTGTTAACAAATCTGCGTTTGAAAAAGAATTTCCCAGTTAGGGGCAGAAGCTTCTGGGCAGCATCAAAAAGATGTTTATTGTGGTGCCTCTGTGTAGACATGAAAAATGAAGATTTGCTGTCTGGCTGGAGATGTGCAAAGATGTACCCGGTATGT